TTGTGTAAAATTGTAAGGAGTAGAAGTAAAAAGTCACCATAAAAATAAGTAGTAAAGTAAAGTAAAGATATCAGAAAAATCTACTTGAGTACAGTAACAAAGTATTTGTACTTCGTTACTTCCCATCTCTGCTTATAGCCAATAAGCAAAGCAAAAGATATACATATAACTTCATATGTCTGTCTCTCTGTAACAATTTCAATCAAATTACATATTTAATGTCTGTAAATGTTTGCATTTTATATTTGTAGGATTATGTGTCTTAATTACTGCCCCAAGTGAGTTATTATTATTATAGAAAATCACATTTTTAGATCCTGTGTTCCATTTTTTCTCTCAACAATTTCATTTAAATCAAATGAGTTGATGATTATTTCAATTATCTATTAATCATGATTATTCTAAATAACTGCCTCACTCTTACATTTTACATAAAGAAACTGTAATTAAGTCCCAGTTATCACTTCTTTATGTTTTTGAAGGTTTTTCTCTTTTCTATTCTATTTGCCATTCCTTATTTCCATCCTAAACCCATAAAGCTTAAAGTCAATAAAATTTGCTTCATCGCATACAGCTGAAGATAGGAGAGGATGGATGGATGGATGTTTGAGTTAAGACAAGATTTTCTCTTGTTTTGACTTAAATAACTCTGACAGTGTTCAATACACCTTCTTAAATACATCATGAAGGTTCTGTTATTTGTTTGGAGCAGCAGTGGCTGTGGAGGCTTACAGCTGCTTGGAAGAAGGATTTATAATTTGTGCTTCTAAGTACATTTAGGATGCAGCAGCTCTGTAACGGCGCTGTAGTTCTGTCGACTCCCACCACCTGCTGTAGGTTAAGGGGGCATGCTGAGACGGTGTTGGCCATCCTGATTGGCTCATCTAACCGCTTCCTCTCAGCTGCTGATAAGCGGCTGCTCCAACATGCAACACTATACTGTAGAAGATTGTCGATGACACCAAAAAGTAAAAAAAAGGACTTTATCAGCAGAGGTCCTCAGCCTGCTCAGGTAGCGTCTGCTCCAACCATCTTGAAGTGTGCATCAGTGTGGAGCTCCAGGTTATTATTCATATGAACATCCTGATACTAATAAGAATCCACAAACTCAATGTCAGATTCCTGGATGTTTACCGGAGTCACATTGATGTGTAGGTGCCCCTCCCTCCTTCTTTCCTCCCGTTTTTGTCCTTTATTTATCCTTTTTCCAGGTTCTCTTTATTTTTTTTTTGTGTTTGTCCTTCATGTGTTTTTCTCTGGGTTTTACCATTATGTTCTCTTCTTTCCTTCCTTTCATGTGTCCTTTATCCTTCTACCCCTAACTGGTCCTTCCTTGTGTCCTTTCTTTTAGCTCTTCTGTCATAACTCCATTCCTTCTTATTTCCTTCCTTTGCCCTTCCCTCTTACATTCCTACCTACCTACCATCCTTTTGTTCTTCCTTCTGACCTATTTTATTCCTTCCCTTTCTTGTAACCTTTCCTATCTTTCTTTATCGTCCATTTTTCTTTTGTCATTGTGTCAATAATTAACTTTTTTCCCCCTTTCACTTCTTTTCTTTCCTTTCTAATATTATTCTTCATCTCAGGCTGGAATATTTCCCACAAATGATTGAGTAAATGTATTTTGTGGTACTTTGATGTCAAACTAAGAGCTCTGTTTGCAATTTATGAAGCTTTGATATGCAAGTTCTCACTTTGAGACTTCTGCTGTTTGCACTGGGACTCTGTTGGGACACTTTTTGTACTTCTGATTTCTTTTTGTGAATGATTTACATTGTTAATCAAACATCCAATGTCACCACTAGCTGGTCTCTATGGTGATTTTCATACATTAATCTAACATCCCTGTTATCTCCTTAAAAACATGCTAAAGTGCAATGAAATATTCTGAATTTTTTAAGCTAAGCTTTCCCCTCAAGGAGTTTATAGGGAAATGTTAAAGAGTTGTTTCAGCAGGAACCTAAAAAAGGTTTTACTGCCTGACGAGCCACAGACCGTCTGCAGGATCGAAGTGCTGACAGCAGCATTAAGATATTGGGTCCTGAACAACAAACCTTCAGAAATAGAAGTGTGGACACCAGTATGCTACAAATGGAATGCCAGCTTGAAAGTAGTGCCAAACGTTTGCCTTGATATCTTATCCTTGCTGTTAAGTGGACCCCTGGGATGCAGCAATTCCTGTTTGAGGGTTGGGTTTGTTGGTTTGGAGAGATGAGATCAGTCCAGGAGATGTCCTCATCCATTTCTGCAACTCAGCCTTTTATCCCATCGAGCTACAAACTCAGAAACTGATGCCTTGTTTTTATTTTTTAAATATAGCCTTAATAAGAGCGCAGACCCATGAAATAATTGAAATAGATGGTTCAAATGGAAAGATGGTAAATGCTGCCAAAACTAAATTATTACTGCGCAGCTGTGGGGTTTAGTTTTCCTGGCAGACAGAAATTTATGCCTAATCTTCCATCTCATTAGACATCCTCGGGCTTCGAACGTAACCTAGATTTGAGGATCCTGGAACTTTGATGTGCTTTATCCCATCAAAGCATATTTTTCTTGAGGCCCGGCCTTTCGGAAAGCTCAATTATTCCTCATGATCTCTGTTAAAAACTGTTATATTTATCTGAGCCTCGCTGTGTGTTTAAACTCTGTTCGGTCGGATCATGCACTGTTCCCTCGTTAAGAGCCAATGTTCGCTTTCGCCGAAGGCGATTCCTGCAGAAATGAGGTAGAGCTGCACGAGGACAAAGTCAAACAGCTTATTCAGAAACCGTAGCTTTATTTACCGTTTGTGTTCTTTGTCTCTTGTCCATGTCTGTAGAAGTTTTGATTTGCAAAGTTAGGGGGAAAAGTACATTCTGTGACCTCTAAAGTTTTAAATATTTACAAAGATAAGTTCAGTCAGACCATAATGATGCAGAAGTGTTCAAATGATTCTAAACTTTTGTTAATCGTTAAATGAAGATGAACGCAAAACAAAAATATGTGTAAAAAAACACTTCTTTTGGTTTTCAGAAGGAACAAACCAGAGCCAGTTTCTGAAAAACATAAATGAAAAAGATCGGCAGTGATGGAACAATCTGCTTCTAACCATGTTCCTAAAGGACACAATATTAATGAATATATATTACATAAACCGATTGCAGACGGCAGTCATTCTCTTTAGAAAAATAGAATAGCTTCCCACCGGATTTAAGCTCAAAAGAATAAGAATTAGAAAGTATGACAAATTGGTTTATCCTAAGTGGAAGAAATTTCATCAATAACCGTTGAGACTAGAAAAAGCTGTTTCGGAGAAACATCAAAG